AATATCCAGCCATCTTGACCTCACACTTGGTCAATAACTCATACATATTTGTACTGTTATTTTGACGGTATTCGCTGCTGCTGGATAGTAAGACGTCATATCGCACCAAACTCCGTCTCTAAGTTCTTACGACTTTTCAAAAATGTCGGAAATGGGTTGAAAAAACTGGTACTAATGTATAGATGCCTAAACTGAAAATCTAATTTAAACCAAACACTAAACTGAAGAGTGCGAAATTCGAGTTGAAAGCCTATCAAAACATGGTTGCCATGGTATTTCAAGTCACGTGGGCAAAAACTTAAGAAGCAAAAATGTTCTTGAAGTTGCGAACCTCGGTCATTTCTCGAAGTCTCAATAGCATTAGTTTAACAGTGTCTCGAACAACGTCTTAAATTCATTTTCGTTCAAGTTGGAGTTAACTTTGTATTGAAAACGATTTAAAATATAAAAATACATGAAAATAACAAAAATAACAAAATTAAAAGACCTATATTTGAAGGAAGGATGTTCTTAACAGTCTCACATGAGTGATATTATGCTCATGTGATATTTAGGTCGCCATCTTGGTTGGATGAGTGGTCCTCACGGTGGTCGCTTTGCAGGTACATTTATGATGACTGTGTCCCAAGATGATGAGCCAGACACCATTTCTAACATGGCTCAGCGCCTGTCCCGTGTGCATGGCCTCCGTATGACGCCCAGGCACCACACCCAGCAGGCACAGTCGATTCATTTGTCGCATCCTCAAGGTGTGAGTCAACCTCCTGTGCCGGCAGTGATTCAGAGCCTGCTGGGACCCGAGAGTTCGTCAGATGGTCTTCAGTTCAGTACAGGCAAGTTCTGGAATTACACTCTTAGTTCTCGTTACCTTAAAACTGAATTGAGATGAATCTCTAAGGAGAATACTTAACAATTAGATTATGAGCTCGAGAATTCTATCACGCATAGAATTCAAGAATGAATAATCTGATTGTTTTAGTATAAATCTACTTGTCGTTCAAAACTTTGTCGAAGTCCTATCCACAGACACTTTGAAAACGCAAAGAAGTGGCTGCCAGTTTCATAACAACCGCACACTGCTAGGCTACTCACTATCGACAGCAGAATAGATAGTAGATAGTGTAGCCAATCAGTGAACGGCATTTGCGATACAACGCCAGTAGATTTATACTGAAAGCAGATAGAATTGATAAAAACAGAAAGATGGCGATAGAAGTAAAGATATTATAAAGAGTGTCGCCTCTCTTACAGGTGTGACTCACCGAAGCAGACATTTGGCTCAAGATGAGATCCAGGTGATTGCAAGGAATACTGAAGATGGCGTCACTGATGAGATATTTTTTGAAAATTTTGGCGAGGGTACTTCATCCACCGTGCCATCTGCTTTAATGCGGTGGGCTGAAGAAGGTCAGATTCTAGACCCACAGGGCATTCACTATTGCATCGCTGCTGTTAAGCCTGAGATCCTTCCTGTCCTGCTGAAGCGGCAGGCTGAGGAGATTGCCAAGGGGAAAGAGGAAGAGCAGAAGAAGAAGGCAGAGGCTCAAGCAAAGGCTGCTGCTTCCAAGAAAGAAGAGGAAGAGAAGAAGAAGAAACAGGAGAGCAAAGAGAGTGGCGTAGAGTCGTCAACAACTTGTGATGGGCAGGGTACATCAACAGAAGCAGACGAAGGAGCTTCTGCAGAAGCACAGAATGAAGGGATGCAAGTTGAACAGCAACCTACAGATGCTGCTGTATCAGAACCTCCCGCATCTGAGGCAGTTGCCCCAGAGGACACTTCTATGTTAGTAAGAATGTACACGGATGAACCTGCTGATGAGACCTCGGTTACATCTGCTGATGTCGCTGTAGTGAGAACATCAACCCCTGTTAACGAGAGTGAAGGCAATTCCTCATCCACACCCACCACGATGCCTGCCATGCCTGCCAGCTCAGTCGTCCAAGATATCATTACTGCAGCCACAATGGAAGCAGCTAGCCTGAGCGCAGGTGGGGATGACGAGGTAGGAGCACCAGGCATTGAAAACCCCCAAGGTTCTATCAATGAGGCTGAGAGAACAGAGCAGGAGACTGTACAGCAGGGAAGTGACGGTTCCCCCATGGCTTTGGAGGAAGAAGGAACTGCTGCTACACCAAGCGGTGAGTCGACTGAGTCCAATGGAGCCGGGTAACAATTGTCAGTTTCATGTATTATTACTATTTCACAAAGGATACTTTTTTTATTGGTCCACTGGACAAATTAAGTCACAGTTTTTTCCAGTCGACAGCAGCGCAGATATGTTTGCTACCATCGACATAATTACAATTGTGGCACAGATGCTCGAGTATTCATTGCTGTGCCTCCCGTTTCGCAGGCTAAGTAAACCCTGTTTTGAAAAGTATTTACTGTTCCCCCATGGCTAACAGTGTTCTCTTTACATAATTCACTTTTAACTAGCAGGCGTACCAGAACCTTCAGCAGCTGCCAGTGACACTACAACATCAGCTGGCGATACAGCAGCTGAGCCTGCTCCAGATACCGCACAGCCTGGCACTAGTGGAGAAGCCTCAGCCCTAACGATAGATGGAATTCCTATCCCTGCTGGAGTGGATCCCTCGTTTCTGGAAGCATTACCGGAAGCGATTCGCCGCGAGGTTCTTGCTGAACAGCTTGGACTGCATCCACCTCCAACTCAGAGAAATGCCGCTGCGAACGAGAATGAGGGCACCGCTGACTTGAATGTGAGCCCAGAATTTCTGGCTGCCCTCCCCCCTGACGTGCAAGAAGAGGTACGTGAATTATTTGAAATGACGCTCTTAGTTCAGGCAAGGATCATGCACTTTAGAGCGACGTGTTGTGACGATATTTTAGCAGGTCTTTTGTCTGATTTCAGACCTTTTGCGTGATTATGTTACGGAGTTGCGCTAGTTTTGGTCGTTCTGTGGCGCTGGGTCATTAGGCCATTAATGTGATATTATGACATGCTCTCTTTCAGCCGATTGAGGGTACGTCATGCTGTTTTAGGCTAGGTTGTAACCCTTTGTCCAGCTACTTTAAGCATCTTAAGGATAAGAAAAGAAATATCAGTTTTTATAAACTTGATAACGTTATGTGACAAGACTTTTTAGCCTTTTATCACATGTCACGTTTGACAGTTTTGCTGTTTATGTCGACTTTGGTTACCAGGTCCTTCAACAGCAGCGGATTGAACAAGAGAGAAGACGTAACCAAACAACCACTCCTGAGCAAGCTGTAGATCCGGGTTCTTTCCTTCGTAACCTGGCCCCTTCCCTGCGACAAACAGTCTTGGCCGACATTGACGACTCTCTTCTCCCTCTACTACCAACCGACCTGGCCTCCGAAGCACAGACTCTCCGGAGAGAGATAGAGGCCAGGCACCACAGGCTACTCCAGGAGCGTTTTAACTTTGGAAGTGGAGACAGAGCGTCGGCTATTTCGGCTCTTTTGCGCCACTCTGCCTTGTCTCGGCATGGTGGGGGGTCTCATTTTCCAAGGCTACTTCCCTCCGGGGGAGGGTTAAGTGGTAGGGTGACAGGATTTTCGAACACTCCACCTTACCTTCCTTCTCCAAACCGCAAGATCGTCGGACGTCACTTGCTGGATCACGAGGCTCTGGCGTGCCTCCTGGTCCTTCTTTTCGTGGAAGAACCTCGCCTTAACACCGGACGCTTACACAAGGTGCTCAGAAACCTGTGTTATCACGACGAAACGCGCTCGTGGCTGATAAGCGCCATGATTACAATTCTCAGAAGAACTAGCGGGCAACAATCAGATGGATCTTGCCCTTTGCCTAGCATGGAAAGCGCATCTCACGCGGAGCCATCTTCGTCTAATTCTGAGCCTGATAGAACAGAGAGTCCGTGCAGGCTTGATGAATATCTGAACACTCAAGAAAGCGCCTCTGATTCTAAAGCCTCGAAGCAACACTCTTGGCTCTCGTTCGGTGTGCGCACTTCACTAGGTTCACGGACAAATGTATTTTGCATAAAACGGCAAGGGAAGGCTGGACTTGAACGTAGCACACACGTTAGCATACACCCTCAAGCATCGCATTTTGTCTGTAAGCATGTGCTTGACGCGTTGTTGTTCCTAGCGAAGAGCTTTCCCGCTAGTTTCACTCCGTATCAGGCGGCAAAACCGCATCCATCTTGTAGCAAAGAAGACAATTCTTCAAGTGAAGCAAAGCCTGTTGCTTCCACATCTCAGGAGAGTACAGATTTCTGGGATATCCTGCTTAAACTAGATACCGCTGGTAGTGGAAGAAAAGGAAAGAGTGCGGCCAAAACAAGCTCGATTCAGTCGCACTTGCCATCTACAACAGACTCACCTACAGAGGAACTTAAAGACTTTTCCACGGCTCCTATTGGACAGCTTTTAATTACACTTGCGCATCCCGTTGTACATGAAAGTGTTGTCGTGACAGACAAGCTTTTACGTTTGTTATCGGTAACATCAGCTGCTCTCCCGGACATGCCTGAGAAATCGAGCAAACAGACCGAAGGCAGCGAAACTACATCATCTGAAACGGTTCCTGCTGAAACGCTAGCTCAGACGCCTTCCGCTGAGCCTGTCACGCAGTCTTTAAATACCAACGAGGCCGTGACAAACGTGAGCGTGACAGTTCCCGAGGAAAACGTGACCACGCATCACCTGGCAGTTCATACGCCAGGTTCGGAGACCGAGTCCGTGGCTTCATCGCTGATTGTTGAACGATCTTCGGAAGCAGGAGGCGAACCTCATGAGGTAGAATCACTAGACGGGGGATCTGTGGATGAACCTCTGTCCCAATCCACTGAGACCTTGTCCCATCCAGGCATGGCAGAGCCGTCCCATCCAGGGATGGTTGAGCCTATGATAGTGGAGGTGTCTCCACCTGTTGATCCGCAGTCGCAGGCTTGCAATGAAGATAGCTCTTTGTTGACAACTGCAGCGTCAACGGCGACGAAAGAAATCCCAGAACAGAAAGCCTCCATGGTCAAAGAAAGCCATTTGCGGCTGGTTGTAAACGTTCTCACGTCTGGTATGTGCTCAGAAGAAGGACTCGAGGACGCTACTACGCTTCTACTACAAGTCTCTCGCCTGAACCCGCAGACGCGGGACAGTGTACTACAGCTGCTGCTTGAGGGCGCTCGCAGGATTGGGGAGACGTTACAACAGAATATCGCTGTGCTGTTGAGTGAACTGATAGAACACAATAGAAATGCACCTCAAAAGGACGAACCGGAACTGAAAAAAGGTTAGCAATTGTGACTTTTTTATTGCACAGTTTATGTCATCGTACGAACGGTAATATGTTACCCATGTTCGTAGTTTACTCAGCGTTCAACCGACTTAAAGGTGCTAGGTCACGGTTTCCACGTCTTGAAAAGTTTAACCTAAATTTTTCAAGTACGTCGTTTGTAATTCGTGTTAATCTTCTCCATCCTTGACCATCCTTGTTCCTTTATGGTTTATTATCATCTCTGTGGTGTTTTTAGTAAACTACTATTTTCAGGTTTCCTTCAATTTGGAGGTAATTTTGTGCGTGGCCAAAATAACTTAAAATATCGTGACTGAGCTTCTTTACGATTGGGTGAGCAACGGAATATTCGAGATGGCCGTCAGAAAGGATAATTTTGCGTTATGTTAGAGCTTAATGTGACAGCGCACCGACTCAACTTAGAGTATATGCGACATGATTGATGTGGAGAAGTTAATTGTTGAAATCTAAGTACTCACCCAGCCGTGCTGCGCCCTGTGCGAGCATCGTATATAGAATGACGGTTGAGTATGCGTTCGTGGGTGCTGTTCTTTCGGTAAGAATATTCGTGACATCTTTCCACGTTCTATAGCAATGCCATAGCAATCGTACTTTTGATATCAGTACTTTTCATCTGGTACGCCCCATTTAAAACATTTTTACTTTTCTATCGCAGGTAAAAGACCAGCCTCGCTTGTGCTCCCCACAGCTCCTCGGAGGCCGACAAGGGGCGGACACCAAGGTGGTTGGGCGACCATGCCTGGCGGCACGAGGGCGAGAAGACAACAGCAAAACAGACAAGTACGGTACGATCTTCACTTGCCGTCCATGCCTACTCTGACGTGCAAGACCTCCAGCCAGGCGCTACTGCTTAGGGTACTCAAGGTCATTCTGCAGCTCAGGGAAGCAGCTCGTAAGTCTGCTTCTGGAGCGACATCGTCAAGGACAAGAACATCGCAGAGAAGAGGTGAGTAAGAGTTATTTGCAATTTTATGTTGCGGAGTACACTAATTGCTTTACATACGTGTTATTGAAACTTTCTAATCGCTTTCTGAGTTGGCAGAAGTCCCATCTTTCTAGAACGTACCGAGACTCTTTCGTAGAGGCTAAGTACTTATTTTGCAGCCTGCGATTATTATTATTATTATTATTATTATTATTATTATTATTATTATTATTATTATTATTATTATTATTATTATTATTATTATTATTAGTTAAAGTATTGTAACTTTTTAGTTATCGTTAGCTCCTTGAGCAGTCCCCGGACGACTTTAGGTCACCGCGCTTCCCGTGAACAAAGGAAGCCTGGCACTTATTCTCGGAATTTTGTCTTATATCTATTTGTGAAATACCTGGCATCATGATAACTTTGCATTGAATTTTAGTTACGGACGAGAGTTCCGTGGTGCAGCGGCTTGTCCAGGGGTCACGTGGTCTGGGTGCTGTGATCGCGGCAATAGAGAGCGAAGCAGAAGCCATCTTTGAAGCCTTCTCACACATGCGCGCCTTGCGCTCTGATCACCAAGGGGATCATGGGAGAGCTAGTGGTCAGCGGAATGAACCGGCGCCTCAAGGAGATGGCGGTCACGACAGAAACAGACCTGAGGGAGGTGGGCAGGAGGGAGGAAGCTCCCAGCAAGGTGAGAAATATAAGACGAAGAGGGTGACAGTTGGGTGTCCTTTAGAAGTTTCTTTAGTGGTGGTTTGTTGTCACGCAATGATTCCAGTGAAGTCAGGCGTTGCGTGACAACCCAGATAATAGCTGCACAGAGGGCTATTGGTGAAACTGATGGAGTTTATTGACTGTAACTGCATCTCTCATCTGTAGGTGCGTCTACATCAGGGACTGCAAACGAGCCTGAGTTGCCTCTGCTGAGTGAGCAGATCACCCTGGAGGAGCTGTGGGACACGTTAGGAGAGTGTCTGTCTGAGCTGGGTAGGACATCTGATAGTCACGCTGTACTGGTGCTGCAGCCCGCTGTGGAGGCGTTTTTTCTTGTCCATGGCACTGAAAAGCAGGTGATTGTCACATTTATAACACTTCTTTAGCACCTGGGGGTGGGTTGTGGTGGACTGGGGGAAGGAGGGAGTGGTCAGGTTAACATGAGCAGATCAACATTCACGAAAATAGTACGATGTGCTAGCCTGTTATGCTTAAATTCTTATACATCAAACCAGTAAGTAGATTTAAATGACTTATTTATTTTTCTTAATAGCAGGAAAGCAGCTCAACTCAAAACCAAGGCGAACAGCCGCGCTCTGGACATCGGCTATCCTCAGTGAGCTCAGAAATTATGCCAGCATCTCCCGGGCCTCTCTCTCCAGGCCCTTTGAGTCCCAGCAGGCAGATGTCAGTCACATCTGTGACGTCAGACCTGCCATCTGACACGCAAAAGTTTCTACGATTCGCTGGTAAGAAATTTGGCACATTTTTAGAGTAACCGTCAACTGTTTTTTGTTTTTTTTGTTTTGTTTTGTTTTGTTTAGTTTTGATTTTTGTTTTGTTGCATTTTGTTTTGTTGCGTTTTGTTGTGTTGTGCTTTGTTTTGTTTTGTTTTGTTTTGTTTTGTTTTGTTGTGCTTTGTTTTGTTTTGTTTGTGGTTCACTAGAAACTTGATGTTGCTGGAAGAAATATGAAATCTTTTGTCTATGAGTTCAATTGCCGGCGTAATGGGAAATCTCGTTACCTGGCAAACAAGCGGTGAAACCACGAAAAGGAGTGGCATCTAAGGGATTGGAGGGAGGGCAGTGAGTTACATCACAGATCTTGCCTTGTCTTTATGTAGAGAAGCACCTTCACGCCAGGAACTATTATCTTTAAATTTCGCATTTCGAACTCATGTTTGAATTCTTGTTGTTCACAGAAAAGCACCGAACCGTTTTGAACCAGATTCTCCGCCAGTCCACCGTCCACCTCGCTGACGGACCGTTCGCGGTCCTCGTGGATCACACGCGCGTTCTCGACTTTGACGTAAAACGTCGGTTCTTCCGACAAGAGCTCGAACGACTCGACGAAGGAATCCGACGAGACGACCTCACGATTCACGTACGACGCGAACACGTGTTCGAAGATTCGTACCGCGAACTCCATCGGCGTTCTTCGGAGGAGATGAAGTGCCGCTTGTACGTCGTATTCGAAGGCGAAGAGGGGCAAGATGCCGGGGGATTACTCCGGGAGTGGTTCGTGATCATGTCCCGGGAGATGTTTAATCCTAACTACGCTCTATTTACCACTTCCCCAGGGGACCGGGTCACGTACCAACCCAACCCCAGCTCCAACTGTAACTCCAACCACTTGAGTTACTTTAAATTCGTGGGCAGGATCGTAGCCAAGGCGATTTATGACAACAAGCTTCTGGACTGTTTCTTTACTCGCTCCTTCTATAAGCACATCTTGGGCAAGGCTGTGCACTTCACAGATCTGGAGTCGTTCGACTATGCGTTTTATCAGGGCCTGCAGTATCTGCTGGAACACGACTTGAGTGAGATCGACATGGAGCTCACATTCAGCACAGAGGTAACGCACCATTGAAGTTTTATTTAAACTGAAATGCTTCTATCGGCTGTCGGCTCCTGCAAACGTAGTTTAATTTGTAAACCGAGGATTTTATTTTGAAAGGTTTTGTAGTGTATTTCTGCTTGGTTAGCGATTGAAGTGGAGGGGGGATGGATCTGGGTCTGAGTTTCCTTAACCTCCATTGTTACGAGAGTTGCATAAGAATCCACTTTACTAGAAACGGTGTAGCACTTTTTCCGTTTTAAAAGTCATGTTCTGCCAGGGTTGCCACAGGTCAGGAAATGGTTAGGGAAAAAAGGAAATTCTTCAAGGTCAGGGAAAAGTCAGGGAATTTTATTTTGAGTCAGGGAAAATTTACATTTTGAAGAAAAGTCATGGAAAATTGAAATAATTCAACACGGCTTATTTAATGCCATTGAAGGCTGGAATAAACGTGGGGTCACCGTGATCTCAACGATATTTTTCCTTAATGAAGAAGGAAAGGACGGCTGTAGGTTGAGACCAGAAGCCGCTACTAGATCTGACGTTTCGTATTTATTTGGTCAGGGAAATCTTATTTTTATCGGGGAAAAGTCAGGGAATTTTGAAAAGTGATGCCTGTGGTAACCATGTCTAAGGTTGCTCCGCGAAGATCTTTTTGCGTAAAGATTATGAGTTTGTCCGTGTCTTTATTGATAATGGCACATTCGCTGACATCTTGACTTTTTTACAGAATAACGGCATAACCCAGGTTAAAGTAGTAACCAAGGTTACCGATATATTATCGAGAAATACTTTCGAAAAATACCTTCGAGGACGGACGGAAACGTCGCGTGTATCTTTGCAGTGTGTTCGGTCGGCATGATATGTACAAAATTATGTTCCAACCTGAAAGTGAGTACTCACTCACTAATGAGTAAGAATGTAGGAGTGTTAAGACTGGAACTGGGTTAAGATGGATTACAAATATTTCTCCTTACGAACTTCTAACTCAGCTTCTTCATCTCTGAATAATTTTTGTCAGGTGCAAGAATTCGGTTTGTCAGAAATCCGTGATTTGAAAAAGGATGGCCGGAACATTCCCGTCACAGAAGAGAACAAGAAGGAGTATGTGAAGCTTGTGTGCCAGATGAAAATGACAGGAGCGATAACAAAACAGATCGAGTCATTCTTGGCAGGATTTTACGATATCATTCCCAAGCGGTTGATTTCAATCTTTGACGAGCAAGAGCTAGAGTTGTTGATTTCTGGACTACCTAACATCGACTTGGATGACTTGAAAGCCAACACGGAGTATCATAAGTACACCGAGGGCTCATTACAGGTATTTGCCGTCAGTTATTCTTTCTGTTGGTCGTACAATTCCGTTAATGTTACTTTTTGACAAGGGCTGTTGGGCTAGAGTCCATTATCGTAGCCAAACCACTGTCAGTCAACCCATTCGCACGAGAAAAAAATTCGCGGCTAAGAGAAGTTAAATTTTCTCACAACCTGTGCATGTATCTTTGGATTATGATGCACGCTTTTGCCTTCTGAGTTCGATAGCCTGGCTTTGCTTGCTATGGTTTAAAACCTTTATGATTTATTTGCTTTGTTCATTTGCTTAGATCCAATGGTTTTGGAGGGCTTTGCGTTCATTCGACCAGGCAGACCGCGCTAAATTTCTTCAGTTCGTCACGGGTACGAGCAAGGTTCCCTTACAAGGATTCGCCGCCCTGGAGGGAATGAATGGATTTCAGAAATTTCAGATCCACCGTGATGACAGATCCACGGACAGACTGCCTTCAGCGCACACGTGGTGAGTGCCTGGCTTCTGTTTTAGTTTCAGATTCAGTAATACAGCCACTTTGACAACGTTATGACGCAATTATCATCAATAAGAGGACAGACGCATAAAAAACTGACTTAAATTTGTTAATTTGATGTTATTGCGTTCAAATCGAAATGCTGCAGTTCTGAAAGAGCCCTGTGTCAAACCAGCATTGTGGTTGGTCACGCAATGCTCGGTGTTGAGAATGTGATGCTTGACTGCCTAGTTGAAAGGAGGCTATGTGACTGTAAACTTTCGATCTTCGAGAGGCAAGGGTTATTCTCTTGTCAGATTTCGGTTTTCACAGTCTATCAAGATGTTAAATTTCGCTATCTAATATGAGCTGTTTTTAACAGTGATCGACGCAATTTTATTAAGATTAACAAAAAGAGGAAATCAGATATTAATCAAATGACATTTTTTTTTTCTCATTCACAGTTTTAACCAGCTTGATCTTCCTGCGTACGAAACATACGACAAGCTGCGCTCTATGCTGAACAAGGCAGTGGATGAGTGCCCTGAAGGATTTGGCCTGGCTTGAAACTATGACCACAAGATTTACACACGGGGATCAAGAACGCAAAACGACGAAACATTAAAAAGACAACAACATGAAAATGAGCCAAAGACACTTAATTACTGTTTGCTGTTAGGACAGGAAGTGTCAACCGTACGACAATAGGACTAAATTAAAAGGAATTTTCTAAGGACTAAGTCGCGGTTATCCAGCGACTTGGTCTGTGTGGATTGGAGTGGATCGCTGGACCGCTGGATCGTGCATGTTACTCATTTGGTTAAAAGTGTGCAGAAGCGTAATTTGCTTCATTTGAGAAAAGTGACTACTGTCGTAATTTAGGGAGGAACTGTGTCACGCGAGTGTTGTCACGTAAGTGTGGCGTCACGTAAGGATATTTCGATACAGCCATTTTCCTACCCAAAATCGCTGGTGTGTGCTGCGCTTTAACACTTGTTGCTGTTGTCTGATTGAGCAATAAAACATTGTTTTCTTATTAAAGTAGCGAAGAACAGATGAATGGACACCGCTTATTTAGAAATTGGTGCACGGTTTGGAGCTTCACTCGTGAAATAATGGCAGAGTTCTCGAGTGACCGACAAGATATCACGTAACAGTTATGTTAAAAAAGCGATCTTTGAACATTTTGAGTAAACCTAGTTGTCAGTCTTAGAAAACCTCGCCTCGGCTGACATGTTTAATTAAAACAGATTTTGAAACAATTAAACGGCATACATTTCCATTTTGTTGTGATTTTGTTATTTTTAGTATAAGGTTGTACTTTTTCCGCCCTTCAAATTCATCGGAATACACTTCGGAAGAAATTTGTTGCTTCTTCGTAATTTCCTCTCTGTATTCGTTTCCGCTGTCCAGAAAATAGTAACTTAAATTGTACTCACACTTATCTCCAGTGGACAGAATTATTGCTTTCCCCCCCTCCCTCCTTCGCAACCTACATGCGCGTCTTCTGTTTCCTTTGCTTCACTCGAAAAAAGCCGCGCAAAACAATACAACACGCCTTTCACAGGCTAACTAAACTCCTTTTGAACAAAACTAAGCCTCGGGCTGATCACCTAGATTTATTACATAACACAAATATTTCACCTGCCGACTTTGTCCCCAGAGCTTTCGTTTCTTTGGTCACGTAGTCAGTGAATCAGAGCGAGTTGCGCTGGGGACGAGAATGCTTGTTGCGTAATTTTCTTAGGTATTCCCACACTGAGAGGTTGAACAAAACAGAGACTGTATGCAGTGTTGGCTAGCGCTATCACTGTTTTTAAGAGTCGTGCAAGCGCGCGTGCGAAGAGATTACCACCCCTTTGATTACTTGATCTCTATAAAACTGCGCATTTTCTTCCTTTTCGCCACACATTTGTCCTTTTATACCCTCTTGTTTGAATACATTACGACTGAGTCATTCCTTGGAAAATTTCATTACTCTTTTCCGTGTCTTTTGTTGATTGATTGACATTGTTTTAGTTGAACATGGCGTAATTCGTTCAGCTCATTAACGCTAATTGCTCACCGAGGTTTTGTTGACTTACTTTCTGAAACAACAAAAGGTGAAAAATTCAGGTTTTCAGTCTTATCATCCGATGATATTTCAGTTTTTTCGGTTTAACAGTTTTACTAAGCCATGCAGTGTGAAGAAATATAAATTTTCTTTTATCTGAAGTGTCGCTATAACGAGTATCTCGGATATCACGACAAGAAAACTGTTTTCTTCCTTATAGATATTCTTTATCTCGTGTTGAACTCCACATGCAAGGGCGCATTAATACAGTTCTTCTACTTTTTTTTTTTTCTCGTCGCCCAACAAAAGCAAGTTGATTTGAGCCAAAATAGGAGAATTTATTTTGCTTATTTTATCATGTCAAAATCCCATCAAATACATTTTAAGATAGCGATTGTAAATTTCACCTGATTAGTTACTTCAGTCATAGTACAATATCGGCTCTTGTACTACTTCTTTTTCAATATATATTTCTCCGATATTTTTACAATGCTGCTTAATTAAATCGCTTCCTAAGAAAAAAAAATGAAAACACGAAAAAAGCAGCAATTTTGCTTCGAGAGTCCAACTGCGTCGGATTATTTTTTCGTTTTTTTGTGTCCGTTCGAACCATTTTATTTCATTGAATACCTTAAATGCGCAAATAGACATTCACAAACCAAGTAATTTACATGTAGGGTTACCACCTCGCAAACAAAAGAGTTTTCTTTAATTTTTTCATGAGGTGTTGCTTTCGCACCTCGCAAAGGCGAGTCACTTTTAGCGCTCGAATGACTCATTTAAGAACATTTTCTTCCCCAACTCGAGACTTTTTTCGATGTCGACAGTTTCGATGCGCATATAATATCGGCGCCCGTATATTATGTAAAATTCCACCTGTCGCAGACAGTCCGAAATAAATTGAATGAATTATTGATTAGTTTTAGAAGGCTTTCCATGGAAACGATTTGGTTGCAGATGTTAATCCTCGAGCAGAATGTTAATGTCAGCTGAGAATGACTAGTCATCCGACTTTCTTACCTGCGACGCAAGAAACCAAATTTAGTGTTCAGAGAAATCCCCTTAAAAGAGAAGATCGAACAACAGATCGAAAAAAAGAAGACTTCATCGCTCTACCACCAGTACGAGGTAAGCAGCCTTTTATGTTTCAGTGTTTATTTTTACGCTTATGAAACCAACCTAACCTCGCTGGGTTATTTAAACCGAATCAAAGCCTTTACTAATTTGTATTCTTTGTCACCAATCCCGGTTTTCTATCGAAAGCTGTAGAAAAATATTCGCTTTTCTCAAAGAATTTAACAAGGGCTAGAAATATCTAGTCATTTTCAGATGAAGCGATAACTAACAGCCCTGCTCTGACTTTCCTTTACTTGTTGATAACATGATAAACATGTGTGAGCTCCAACTTTTCTCTGGAATTGCGATTGTTCAGTAGTAATTTTTTACATCTTTTTAGGGAGAGCCAAGTTTTTGCTTTCACATTCTCACATCTGTAACGGTTTTGATATCGCTTGCAGCGGTGAAATATATTGAAAGGGGTACTAACTAGTCGACTGATTAACAAATGACTTCTTTATCGTCTGAAACGCGTAAAAACCGCCGCAAATTGCGCATATTAATTCTGGGACGGAAAATTCCACAAGAATTAAGGGTACCTCATTAACATTATAAAGTAACTCAAAAATTGTCGCTATGTTAAAGCAAGCACGATATATTTTTAGGTAAGTGAGCAAAATAGCATGGAAAATATATCTACAATTCGCAACGTCTTTTTAACCTATTTTTGCTTTTTTTTTAATCAATGTTTTTTTTGTAAACTCGATGAAGTAATTCATGTTCCGACTTGTTGTTTTTGAATTGCTGGGATCTCGCTAGTTGTGTGTTTGCTTTAATAATAAGAGAACAAAAAAGTCAAGCCATAGTTAAGTATGGAGATCCTCTGACTTGGAACTGTCAGGTAATACATTAAAGGAAAACATGAGTCGTCAGAATTGTAATTTCTGACCATCTTTTGCTATCTCACAGATTGAGTAATTTAACTTACTTCTTGTACATCTCCTGTTGTACACATGAAGAAATCGTACTCATTTTTGCGCGAAGTGAAAAGATGTCTTCGAAAGGAAATTGTTTATTCAGCTTGACGGAAAATCATGCTAAAATTTCAAAAGCGCGACATGAAAATTAGACGATGTTTTGACAAATTGTAAACATGAGACCCTTTATTTCCTTTTCTGAGCTAATTTTATTTTATACGAGTTCAACATCTCGGGTTTCTGGCTGTCGTTCTGTTTCTTAATTCAATTGAAAAACTTGCTTCTGTTTTGAAGAAATTTGCTAAGTTTAATCATATTTTTCAAAAGGTTTTTCGCTTTCAAGAGATTGGACCTCTTCCTGTCACGAAATGAAATCAAACACGATTACATAGGTAGCTCTTCATATTCTCTCTGAAGGAGAGAAAAATGTTCCAGACACAATTTATCGAAAGCCTGAAGGAGGAAATCTTCTTATTTCAGACTTACTTTCTTAGCTAGCAGTAAAGTCGATGAAAAAGGCAACAAGCGAGGTAGCCTTTTACCTTGTTCCTAGGCCTCTATATTTTGCCGTGGTCAACCCGTTTTCTGGTCACGTGGTCCGAACGTTCACCCGCAAGGCTGTTCGAACACATTGCCAAAATGAACTGATCGTTAAGGCCTGGGAGAAGGCCATTCAGTTACTAGGCAACTTTCTATTGCGATGACAAGGAAGAATTTAGTAAGCAGTGTCAGGAATTCAACAAATGAAGAAGAGGTAGTACAGGGGTATTCTTGTGATGCGTGATTAGCTGATTTTTATTAATTTTCCGTGAAACGTGAATTTAGGAAATTATTCTTCATGATCCGTGATCTGAAGGTTTTACGTGATCCGTGAAGAACTTGAATTATTAACCGATATCCGTGATTTCACTACTCTATTCCACGTTATTTTGAGACGCGAGTCCTCCGAATGGTAATTAGAGAGTGACTTAAGTATGCGATTTGCAATATGTAGCCTTGACGAAGGGTGCGTTCCTTTGGGGTGATCTGTATCAGGATCAGTGATCCAAGATCACTCGGATCATAGTGCATCAAAGAAGCCGATGAATCCGATCCGTGACCAGAGTGGATTCGTCGGTTCCTTTGATGCACCACGATCCGAGTGATCTTGAATCACTGATCCGGATCCGGATCACCCCAAAGGAATGCACCGTTAGTCTTTCAAGATTTTGCTTTCTTAAAACACTCTTTCTAGTAAAAACAGGTTATTAAAAAGAATATCTTACTTGCTTATTTTCGTGATTCGGGAAAACGAAATTTTTATATCCGTGATCTGTGATCCTCTATTTTTTTTTCGTTTGTGAACCGTGCCAGAGACTCCCTTGTACAACCCTGGAAGTACTATTTCTTGTTTTCACGTTAAGAAGATTTTGAAATCCAGAAAAGAACTTTTCCCTATTTTCAAATTCACATCCGAATCTTCCTTATTGAGGTTTATATTATCGTTATTTATCTTAGCCAGGGTTATTCTTTTATTTCGTTTTAAAATCGCTGATTCTATTAGAATCGCAGCCGTCTTTCTCGCGGGATTTAATTGATCAGAATAAGCTTGACTGTAGCCGTACCCAACCCCCGTGGAAAAACTTAATAAAGGGGTTCCCTTTCCCCCTTTACCCTTGGGGGTGGGTACGGCTACACGTAGGCTTACCAGAGCGCGCGTCTATTCCAGTCTGGTAAAAATGAATGAAATTGTTTTCGTTATTAGCTCTCGCCACAACCGGCTCGGAAAACCAGTCAGACAGGCTGTTGACCCCACTGAGCAAATGGCAACTCCAGCGCTGTTCCACTCCAAGTACAAATTACTGTCAGGAAGAGATGGTGAACGAGTGGTTACACAGGAATCACATCCGGGTAGTTGAGAGACTTCCCAAGATGGACCCCGTTGTACTGGTAAGGTTTTAACTTCGACCCTGTACAATTGTAGTAAGATAAAGGTTAAGTCTGCATACGATCCAAGTGGCCCTTCTGTTGGCGCGCTTGTTGCCGTTTTCTGTAACATGAAGCGACTAGGAGCATTTCTACTCCCTCCCGGTTGGGATGCTAGTCCATCGCAGGGTTACCCCCCGATATCCATTTCCACACCTGAGGGCAGAGAAGTACTGGAAAAGTGGAGTATCTTGTCTAAAAACACAACACAATGTTCTCGGCCAGGGTTCGAACCCGGTGCCCAGCGCGCTAACCATGAGGCCGCTGCGCCTCCATGCAATTGAATTAAGACAAGCAGTTTTGTTAAAAGTCAGACTTCTACACTTTTTTGTCAAATGTCTCAATATGGACTGATTATTGTTCGTTTTCTTTGCAGACCAGTCGCGGATCAGATGTTTCAAAGTACATCAGTTTCATCCATCCACCGCCTCTTAGTCTGAAGATTATCTCCAGCTCTACAGAGAAAAACTCCCGCGAAAAGACGCAAAAACGGGTTTGTGAAAAATTTGATTTAACTTGCAAGAACGAGTACAATGAATGTTGTTGGTGTGCAGTATTAGCTAGACATATTTTTCTTACATGTATTTTGTTACGAAGAGCTTGTGTTTTTGTGGAATCTTTGTATAAATATAAGCCACTCTTTTGAAATGAGATGTAGAAGTGTAGTCAAGTATTGATCACGTTGTTTTCGTGTTCCCTAGCTGCCGGCTCCTTCCCCAGTATCCAGTTCACCTTGCCCTCGCTTACTCAGGAGTCAGAGGTCTGAGAGCGTAAGTTTTGATGATGTCCATGTTTACGGGATTGCAAAATGCAAGCCATACTACAACCGGAGCAACTTACTCGCGTTTTTATTACGGGAGAAAGATGGTCAAAAACTGAATTATCTCTTATGGATGCTGACATAGAGTAGCAAATTTCACCATCAAGTCCCGCTTTGCAAATGCCAATTGTAAATTTTGTCAGGAACAAATTCCCAAAGCACCAAACATAAAAAAATACACGTGAAAACAACAACTGAACGTGACAGAGGTTTGAGAAAATTTCGCTCAAATAAGGCTTGAGGGTGAATTTTGAGGATACGACGTTATCTTTTGTAAGACCTCTTAAAACAATAGACTTAAAACTTGTGAAAAAATGATTTTCAACTGACGAATGAAGATTTTAAATTGACGATCTTTGTGGCTAGTTGCTGAGCTGTCTGTCGACAACTGCGATCCGATGGGATCCGTAGTCAGAGAGCAAAAGATATTTTAGATGTCTTGATTCTTAGCTGGAAAAGCGGCGCTCCAGGGCTACTGAGGATGTAGATTTTTGTACTCCGCGGAGTGATTTGTAACTGAGCAGTTGACTGGTGTTTGTGTTTTCTAGGAGATGTTTTCTATGAATCCCGTCATACGGGTCGGAGGAGGATATCGCAGGCTCAGTTGGAAGGTAATAAAGTAGCAAGCCATTTACAAGGTTTTCTAGTCAATTTTAAAGTAGCTTCTTAAACGAGAACTCTTAAGGTAATTCGTTACATAGAAAGGAGAACAAACTGCCTGTTTTTTCTCTCTCCCTTTCAACCCTTCTTTAACGTCACCCCCTCCCACCCACACGACATACCATGTGCCCCCGTACTGTTGCTTTACAAATCGCTTTGCATTGTTTCCTCTTCATGTCGCGGGTTCAAATTTTTAATTCTCCTTACTCTGCGCCATACTATTATTCCTAAGTTGGTGCTAAGAATTTGCTGGTATATGAAGACACTGTTCATAATTTTCAGTTTTCTCTTAATTCTCCTCACCTACTTGTTTAGCATAGCGAGAACATCGTAAGGCGATTTGAGATCTTGATCATTCTCGTTTCGTTTTTGTCAGGTTTTGGATGTTCTTCCTTCCATTGGCCAGTATGACCCTGATCATTTTCCAGCTTACGCGTGTTCTGTGTGCAACGCAACCTTGCCAGTCTCGGAGAAGGTCACGAATTCTCGAGGACAGCTTCGCACAATCCTTGCGACTCCAAAGGAGTGCCACAAATGCGGTGCGCCTACAACAGAATATCAAATGCTCACAGAGAAAGACTTACACGAAAGTGTTCTGGACACTTTACACAGAGGAGACCCAAGGTTTATTGTAGATCATAGGCGTTTTCAAAATTCGCATGCTGCACGTTTCTCTCCGAAAAATAACAGTGGAATTCGGGAACCAAGCTCACCAGTGGACTGGCGTGACGATATAGAATCGTTTCGACTACATATGAGCAGACAGAGTCAACGGGAGGAGGATCTGGATACTAGGGACCAGGAATACGAGCCGAAGCGTTCCGAATCGGGAAGAAGTAGCGTCTTTATGACGGAGCCTGGAACGAATATCGAGAAATTAAACGAGCCCCCGGATGTACGGCGCGCATGGGATGATGGAACTACTCGAGCTGAGATCACAAGGGATGATGGGATTGGCAGCAGAGATTGGGTTAAGGGGAAAGAAAATCAAAGTTATTCGTCTGATCTCGATGCTTACAGTGATTTTGAAATGATAGAGGATTACGATACAGAATCGGGTTTTACTGTAAGGTTACGAAGGAGACCTTTTGGTGGCGCCAAACAGACTAGTTACGTTATACACGGGATTCAAGATGAAGAGACTGCAAGTACGAACTCCATGTCTAAGGGAAGAAAACGGCAACATCAAGGAAAGGAAAAGCATGGTCGTACGAAACAAGACATTCAAACTGAGGCTCACCAAACTAAGAGCTCAAAACATCAAGAAAATAAACAAGGATTTCAAACTGATGCTCGCCATCGTCGAAAGGAAAAGAATCATCATAAGAAACAAGGAATTCAAACTGACACTCACCAGACTAGGAGCTCAAAAAGTCGAGAGAATAAACAAACTTTTACCGACAGAAAAACAAGCAAACGTAGATCACACGACGTAAGTGAGAACGAAGAGGAATTACGAGAAAATGGAACAAGCCAAAATGTAAAACACCCCAAAAATACTCTTTCAAGAACAGAATCATTTTACACTGTCGGCTTGGATCAGCGGGATTACGTGTTTAGCGAATCACCCATAATTGAAGAGGTCGTCGATGACGAAGACGATGTTGACATCATATTCTCTGCAACAAGGTTTAGCGATGACACTTTCTCAGATTTTGAGTTCCATGGTGATGACTGGAGCCCAGGCCCACTGCGTCCTGGCTCACTCAGACCGAAAATGCCCTCCCCTGCTGATGATCAGGTAATGATTTTGTTAAAACACGTGTTATCACTCATTTGGAACGTTTAGCCAACTAAAAATACTATTTATCCAACAGGATGACGTGGAGTACAGTTCTTCAGTGTCAATATCACCCGTACAGCATGACGGGTACCTTGGTGACAGCGAAGAGAACGCTGACCTGTCCTCCTTGCAGGCTCAGATTCAACAAGCTCGGAATAACGCGAAGAAGTATCAAAAACGAAAAGAGGAAGGACAAGAGATAAAAAGGAAAGAGTCTAGAGAAAAGAAGGCGAAAGACCAACAACCTAAAGGTCGGTTTTAGATTTCTATCAAAGAAGTTTTGGCGTGCTCTTTATTCTTAAGAGCAAATTCATATTTTTTTCTGCCTCCCTCTAAAGTTTTGCCTTTAGCCATTGGAAAGTTCGGTGACTTTTTTCTGGCATTTTTTGAATTTTTCAATTCATTTCCGTATAAGAAACAGTCTAACTGTTTTTTTTTTTAATGTATATTTTGGTGGCACAATAGCGAAAGAAGACGTCCAATCACAGAACCTCTTAGAAAACGATTCGTTAAGAGCCCCCTTAAATAGTGGTGAATGGGACAGTGACTGGGACAGCGACTTCAGCTTACACGTGCAACCACTGAGCGATTTGAGTGAGTCGAGCAGTGACGAAGAACTCTGGAAGAATAGAGCGCAGAGAGGAACCAACAACCCGAACACAGAAGAAAGGACTCGGAAACGATCCGACAAAACCACAACAGTCATTGCAAGGAGAAAAGAGAGCAAACCTGGTGGTACAGACCGCGGCAAAGGTCCTGAGAATAAAAGAACTGCGGAGAACGGGCCGCGGAGGAGTACTGCCACAGAGGACCATGCTAAAGACAGAAAAGCAAATAGACCAATTGTCAAGCCTATACCCAAAATCGGTTCAGGTATGAAGTTTTACGTTGCATAATTCTAACTCGTAAATTAATCTGCCAGAGCTGAGGAATTCCTGTCCCGTTAATTTAGGGTCATCGAGCAACGTACATGACGTAATTGTGCAATGACGTCGTGCTGATACAACAGATACCTAGTCTTTTGTAGTCTGGTGTTCTGACAAGCCTCGACAAAAACAGGAAAAAAATGTTTTAAGTGCGGCTCAAAAGGGCTTCTGGCTAAGCTTTGTCTTTAACGGAGGTCAAGGTTCTCACCTGAATTTAATGTTTGTGCTTTTAAGAGTAGGATAGCTGCCTTTCGCGCTAGACTCCAAAAATCATATCTGATCTACATGTGTGATACTGTCCCCCGTGGTCATGAATCACTGCAATCATGACCTATTATTGCTCCTGTTTTTCCTTAACGTTCGCTGACATTGTCACGTTTTTTCTCATTTACTTATATCAAAGATTCAGACCCCGAAGATGTTCCTCGCCGCCCCAGACCTCGCGGTCCCCGTGGCTCCGACGAGCTTAGCGAGAGTGACATGAATTTCTTCTCGCAACAGTTCCAAGCGCCTTACTCAAGAGGGGACCAAGAAAATAGCTCTGAAAAGCAGAGCCCTGATGGATGTAAAGGAATAAACTGTTATCGGTGCTCGGCTTTTATTCCGGAATGTGAAGGCGTTTGCTCGAAGTGTGGTACTTTGTGTCAGCGGCCAGGTGGGCCGTGCAAGGCCTGCCGGGATATCTGTGAGACCTGTGGGAAGCCGAGATACAGATGCACGTCTGCTTGCGAGAGACTTGCAGCTAGTGATGAGGAGAAGGAGCGGGAAGGGGAGAGCGTCGACACGGAGGGTATGAGTAGAATAAGCTGTGTTGTTTTGTGACTTCATACATAACGAGTGTGGTAAAATGCGTAACCAAAGAGACCTGACTTGTTTGATCAGCTGGCTCCATACTTAACAAGATGCAACTGTATTTTGCTTTGCTTAGAGTTGGCGATAAAATGCGTGTTTCTCAATATAACCTGGGATTGCCTTGACCCAGCCATATGCATATAGCTAAGCCCAGCAGAGTAAATTACGCCCCCCCCCCCCCCCCCCCCCCCCCCCCCCCCCCCCCCCCCCC